GGTTGAGTCTTTAGGGTTTTCTATATATATTATCATTTCATCTGCAAATGGTGAAAATTTCTTCCTTACCAATCCAGATGCCTTTTATTTCTCTATGCTATCTAATTGCTGTGGCTAGGACTTCCATTATTATATTGAATAGAAGTGGTGAGGGTGGACATCCTCGTCTTCTTCCTGACCTTAGGGGAAAGCCTCTCCATTTTTTTACCATGGAGTATGATGTTGACCGTGGGTTTTTCAAAAAAGCCATAGTATGTTGAGATATGTTCCCTATAGACCCTTTTTGCAAAGGTTATTTTTTTTTATCATAAATGGAAGTTATACTTTGTCAAATGCTTTTTCTGCATCTATTAAAATGATCTATGGCTTTTATCTTTTATGGATGTGATGTATCATGTTGATTGTTTTGTGAATATTAAACCACCCTTGCATCCCAGGAATAAATTCCACTTGATTGTGGTGTGTGATTTTTTATAGGATTTTTGTAAAATGTTATTGGATTCAGTTTGCTTATATTTTTTTGAGGATTTTTGCATGTATATTCATGAGAGACTGTGGCTCTTTTTTTGTTGGTGGTGTCTTTTTCTGGTTTTGTTATCAGAGTGACACTGGCTTCACAGACTGAATTTGGAAATTTTCCTTCTTGTATTTTTTGGAAGTATTTGAGAAAAATGGGTGTTAACTCCCTAAATGTCTGGTTGAATTTGCTTGTCAAGCCATCTGGTTCTGAACTTTTGTTTTTTGGGAGTTTCTTGATTACTGGTTGGATTTCATTGCTGGTGATTGGTCTGTTCAAATTTTCTATTTCTTCCTGCATTAGTTTTGGTAAGTTATATGTTTCTAGGAATTTTTCCATTTCTTCCAAGTTATGCAATTTATTGGCGTATAGATTTTCATAATATTCTATTACAATTGTTTGTATTTCTTTCTTTTTTAAGGTTTATTTATTTATTTATTTATTTATTTATTTATTTATTTATTTATTTGACAGAGAGAGGCACAACAGGAGAGGGAGAAGCAGACTTCCCACTGAGCAGGGAGCCTGATGCGGGGCTCAATCCTAGGACCCTTGGATCATGACCTGAGCCAAAGGCAGACACTTAATGACTGAGCCACCCAGATGCCCTGAATTGTTTGTATTCTTTGCTGTTGGTTGTTATTTCTCCTTTTTCATTAGTAATTTTATTTGGTTTCTCTCTTTTTTTAATATCTTGCTAGAGGTTAATCAGTTTTGTTGATCTTTTCAAAGAGCCAGCTCCTGGTTTCATTGATCTGTTCTATTTTTAGTTTCTGTATCATTTATTTTTTCAAATCTTTATTATTTGCTTTCTTCTTTGGGGTTTGGGTTTTGTTGTTCTTTTTCTAGATCCCTTAGTTATAAGGTTAGGTTGCTTGCAATTTTTCTTGCTTCTTGACATAAGCCTATATTGCTAAAAACTTCCCTCTTAGAAACACTTTTGCTGCCTCTCAAAGATTTTGAACTGTTTTGTTTTCATTTTCATGTGTTTTTATGTGATTTTTAGTTTCTTCTTTGATTTCTTGGTTGAACCCATTCACTATATAGTAGCATGTTATTTAACCTCCACGTATTTGTGGTCTTTCCAGATTTTTTTCTTGTGGTTGATTTCCAGTTCCATCACACTGTGGTCATAAAAGATGTATGATATGACCTCAGTACTTTTTATTTTAGGACTTGTTTTGTGACCTAATATGTGATCTGTTCTGGAGAATGTTTCATGTGCAATTTAAAAGAAAGTGCTCCGCTGTTTTTGGATGGGTTGTTCTGAATATATCTTTTAGATCCATCTGGTCTAATGTGTCATTTAAATTGACTCTTTCCTTATTAATTTTCTGTTGGGGTGGTATAAGTATGTATTCAATTATCCTACTATTATTGTAATAGTATCAGTTTCTAACTTTATGTATGTTAATAGTTGCTTTATATATCTAGGTGCTCCCATGTTTGGTGCACAAGTATTTACAATTGTATTTTCTTGCTGGATTGTTCCCTTTCTTATTATGTAGTGTCCTTCTTTGTGTCTTGTCTTTGTTTTAAAATCTATTTGGCTGATATAAGTATTGCTATCTCAACTTTCTTTCTGCTTCTATTTTCAAGATAAATATTTTTCCATCCCCTCACTTTCTTTTTTTTAAATTAGAAAATATTTTATTTATTTACTTTTAATTTTATTATGTTATGTTATTCACCATACATTACATCATTAGTTTGTGATGTAGTGTTCCATCATTCACTGTTTGCGTATAACACCCAGTGCTCCATTCAGTACGTGCCCTCTTTAATACCCATCACCAGGCTAACCCATCCCTCACCCCCTCCCTTCTAGAACTGAGGCATCCCCTCACTTTCAATCTGCATGTGTATTTATGTCTGAAGTGAGTCTCATGTAGGCAACATACAGATAGGTCTTCCTTGTTTATTCATTCAGTCACCCTGTGTCTTTTGATTGGGGTATTTAATCCATTTATATTGAAAGTAATTATTGATAGGTGTGTACTTACTGCCATTTTATTATTGGTTTTAGAGTTGTTTTTGTTGTCTTCTCTGTTCCTTTCTTTCTGTACTCTCTTCCCTTGTGGTTTGGTGGCTTTCTTTAGTGTTATGCTTGGATTCCTTTCTCTTTATTTTTGTATCTATTATAGGTTTTTGATTTGTGGTTACCATTAGGTTTTTATATAACATCTTATGCAAGTAGTAAGTTGATAGTTGCTTAAGTCTGACCTAGTGTAAGAGCACTAAATTTTTACTCCACCACCTCATGTCTTATGTATATGATGTCATACTTTATATCCTTTTATTTTGTAAATCCCATGACTGACTTTTGTAGATATAATTGATTTTACTGCTTTTGTTCTTTAATCTCCATTCTCGTTCTGTAAGTGATTAGTCTACTATTTTACTATAAATTTGGGGTTACTTGTGAATTTTTCCTTTCATAATTTCTTACTCTTGATTATAGCTTTTCCTTTCCATGCAAAGAATTCCTTTTAACATTTCTTGTACGGCTGGTTTAGGGGTGATGAACTCCTTGAACTTTTGTTTGTTGGGAAACTATCCTTTATTCTAAATGGTAACCGCTGTGTAGAGTATTCTTGGTTGCAAGTTTCTTTCATTCAGCACTTTGAATAGATCATGTCACACTCTTCTGGCCTTAAAGTTTCTGCTGGAAAATCAGCTGATAGTCTTATGGGGTTTCCTTGTTATGCAACTCTTTTCTTTTCTCTTGCTGCTTTTATAATTCTCTATCACTACTTTTTGCCATTTTAATTATTACGTCTTGGAGTGGACTTCCTTTGGTTAGTTTTGTTGGGGGATCTCTGTGCCGTCTGGATCTGAATTTGTTTCCTCCCTGAGATTATGTAAGTTTTCAGCTATTTCTTAAAATAAATTCTCTACACCCTTCTGGGGTCCCTATAATGTGATGGTTATTACACTTGATATCACTGAGTCACCTTACCTATAATTTTATTTGCTTATTATTTATTTAACTTTTTTTTTTTTTTTTTTTTTTTTGCTTTTCTGCCTAGTTGTCATTATTCTGTCTTCCAGGTCACTGTTCTATTCTTATGCATCCTCTAATCTGCTCTTGATTTCCTCTAGTGTATTTTTAATTTCAGTTATTGAGTTCTTCATATTTGACTGGTTCTTTTTCATATTTTCTACTTTTTTGAGTATCTCACTGAGATCCTTCACTCATTTCTCAAGTCCAGTAAATTTATGACCGTTACTTTGAATTCTTTATCAGGCATATTGATTATCTCTGTTTCATTTAGTTCCTTTGCTATGGTTTTGTCCTGTTCTTTCATTTGGGACATACTCTTCTGTCTCCTCATTTTGTCTAACCCTCTGTATTTGTTTCTGTGTATTGGGAAATTCAGCTATGTCTCCTGATCTTGAAAGTAGTGGCATGAAGAGGAGACCATGTGGTGTCCTGTAGTGCAATGTCCCCTCTTCACCAGAACCAAACATTTCAGGGGTGTGTTCTGTGTGGGTTATGTGTACCTTACTGCTGTGGTTGAGCAGCAGTTGCCTTCACTCTGTTTGGCTGTTCTGGCTCACTTTGGGCCACTGGGCAGGGTTTGGTCTTTGTGCTATTAAGGAGCCAGTCTGTAGCTGCTGTAGTCTTATAGCTGGGTATTGTAAGTAGTCAGACCAGATGTCTGCTCTGTTGTCTGCCAGGGTTGCAGTTGTACCAAAGTGCAGAGTGCTCTCCGTCCTTGTCCTCTGAGAGGCTATAGTTGGTGGGTGGGTTTGACAGTCAGATCAGATGCCTGCCCCTAGTCTGTCTGCTGGGGCTGCAGGTGCATTGGTTAGCAGGGCCTTTCTCTGTGTTTCTACCTATAGTTACAAGGCTTGATAAATGGGACTGTGGGTACACTGGTGAGTGTGGTCATCTTCACCTCTCCCTAGGCCAGGAGCCACTTTGGAGTTGTACTGATCCCTCCCCATCTGTGGTAAGAAGTGGATTGGATGAGGTAAATCTGCAGGACAACATCAGTGTGTGCATGCATAATGTTAGCAAAGTAGGTGGAGAGTAGTCATGCTAGTTCCCATTAGCATCCTGATGTCTAGGCTCTGCCAGGGGTGGGGGATGCGGGGTATGGTGTCTGCCAGCTCATTTGTTCTTAGAGAAATATCCTAAAGATTGCTGCCCCTTCAGCACCTGTTCTGATATTAGTAAATAAGTGTCCTTCAAGTATACCCCAGATGCTTTTCAAACTGCTGTTCCTATGCTATCTCTTTAAGGGCAAGGCCTCAGTTTCCTATTCCCTCTGCCTCTCACAGAGCTAAGCTCACTGATTTTTTCTTTTGATTTGTAAATTCTTTATTTTGGCTAATATTGACTGCCTTCATTACTACCACAGATTTATTATAGCTGAGAGGAATTATTCACTGGATATTCTGTTGTTATTAAACACCAAAAAGGGGTGATACACAAGGTCCTGCTCAGCCTGGTTGTCAGGAAATGAGTCACCACATCAGATCTAACTGAAATGCCAGTCTCTCTGAAAGGGCTTTCAGGAAAAAGGTGCGTTAACAATTATTCACCGGACAAACCAAAAGGTCAATGAATGTTTCTAGAAAAGATCTTGGCATGAAAGACCCATCTAAGGAACAGTTCTACATAGCACCATGACAGAGCTGGGACATCAATTAAGACGTTATTATGGACACAGCAATCTCTAGAGGCTAACTCTCACTCACAGATGTATGTGATGTTTTATGGCATAAAGATGTTGTAGACGGTTCTCACGTAGATGTCATCTGGAGGAGGCTTCTTCTTGCTGCCAGGTTCCAGGAATTTCTTAATTGTTGGGATATTACTTATTTTCACTGTGAACTCCTGGAGATGAGGAAATGCAGACAGGATATTGGGGATTTTCTCTTCTAGAGCCAAAATGGTTTGGAGTAGAATCACGTCCGCAAGGCTCAGCTGGTTACCAACGAGAAACCTTTGCCCATGATCCCTTAAAACCTTTTCAAACACAGGAAAGTATCTAATTATAGCCTTCTGGGCCATGTTAACCACTTCCTTTTGTTGATCATCTGGTTTTAGAAAAGGATGCATGATAATCAGTTCCAGCAGATCTAGCGTCCCCTCCACGTACATGTCAATCAGGGTTCTCTCCTTGAGGTCCTTGCCAAAGAGGTGATGCTTATCCGCTATGTAGTGGAGGATGCTTCAGGTCTGCACCAACTTCATTCCATCAATTTCGACCATTGGCACTTGTTGGAACAGCAGGTGATTTCCATCCTGCAACTTCTGCAACTGTTCTTTTGTTTCTAAGAATTCTTCATCAAACTCGACTCCAGCGGCAGCTAAAACCCATCTTACGGATTCCATCCGGCCTCTTCCGTTAGGATCGTGGAGTTTGGGCTTCGCTGCCATGATGGCCTTTCAGGCTTTCTGGAGTCGGCTCGGAGCTCCCGGAGCCGTACAAAGCACTCGGCGAGCAGTCTGCAGCCAAGCTCACTGATTTTTAAAGTACTCAGAGTTAAGCCCTGGTGACTGTAAAAACTCATGAAGTTAAGCATCACTGGTTTTGAAGTCCAAATGTTATGGGGAATTCATTTTCCTAGTGTGGGTCCCTCATGCTGGGTTTTCTGCTGTGGGGTCTCATCCTCTGGCTTCTCCATGTTTGTGGTTAGTCTCACTGGAGGTTTATTTCTCACCCACATCTCTGCCCCTCTTACCGTTTATGATGTGACCTCCTTTCTAAAATAACCATGGAAAGTTTGTTTTGCCAGTCTTTGGAGCATTTCATAGTTGCAGTGATGTGGCTGTCATCTTGGTATGTCTGTGGGACAAGGTGAGCTCAGCAGCCTCCTACTCTGCCATCTTCTCCTATACCTCAATCATGTTATTTTTCTCCTTCAGTTTATTTTTTTTAAGATTTTACTTGAGATATATATATCTATATATATCTATATATATATAGAGAGAGAGGAGAACAAGAGAGCATGAGTAAGGATGGGGGAGGAGCAGAGGGAGAGGGAGAAGCAGGCTCTCCACGGAGCAGGGGCCCTGATGAGGGGCTCGATCCCAGGACTCTGGGATCATGACCTGAGCCAAAGGCAGACACTTAACCAAGTGAGCCACCCAGGTACCCCTTCATCTGCCTTCTTATTCAAACCATATATCATCACTTTTGAGTGAAAATATATGTAATGTACTTGTGTGAATAGAGTGATTACTAAAATACACACATTTATCTCTAAGGATGTGTCTTTATATTATATAAATATAAATATTTTTGTTCATATGTGTTTTCTGGTTGTGGGGTCATCCATGTGGGCATATATGTAGGGATTTTTATCTCTAACTAGATGTTTATGTAGGAGAGAGCCAAGGTGAGATGTATTTATCTATGGGTATGTTTGTGCTCTGACAAAGGGTTATAACTGGGGAGTTGTGCACCTAAGGTGGACCAGTCACTAGAGGTAGGGATGTGTGAATTTCAAACAGGCAATGTTCCCCCTCATGGGAGAATATAATTTTATTTTTTATTTTTAAAAAAAGATTTTTGTTTATTTACTTGACAGAGAGAGTGCACAAGCAGGGGGAGCAGCAGAGGGGGAGGGAGAAACAGACTCCCCGCGGAGCGGGGACCCCGGTGCAGGGTTCCGTCCCAGGAGCCTGGGATCACGACCTGAGCAGAAGGCAGATGCTTAACCAACTTAGCCACCCAGGGGCTCCTCTCCTTCAGCTTATTTATGTGTTGTATCACATTGAATGATTTGTATATGTTGGACCAGAATTGCATTCCCGGAATAAATCTTGATTAGGATGTATGATCCTTTTAATATATTGAATTCATTTTGCTAATATTTTGTTGAAGATTTTTACTTCTGTTCATTAAAGATACTGGACTGTAACTAAATTTCTTCCTTTCTTTCCTTTCCCTCCTTTCCTTTCTTTTGTCTCTTTCATTTCTTTCCTCCTTTTTCCTTCCTTTCTTCCTTTCTTCCTTCCTTCCTTCTCCTTGTCTGGTTTTGGTATCAGGACAATTCTGGCCTTGTAAAATGCATTTGGAAATGTTCCTTCCTCTTCAGTTTTTTTGAAGGAGTTTAAGAAGCATAGGAATTAAATCTTATTTGAATGTTTGGTAGAATTCACCAGTGAAGCATTTCATAATGGATTTTTTGTTTATTGGGACACTTTTGATTACTAATTCAATCTTTTTACTAGCAATTGGTCTGTTTTGATATTTTATTTCTTCATGACTCATTGTCAGAAGATGTATGTTTGTAGGAATTCATCCATTTCGTCTGTGTTGTCCAATAAGTTGGCATATAATTATGCATAGCAGCTTCTTAGGATTCTTTGTATTTCTGTGGTATCAATTGTAACTTCTTTTTCATTTTTGATATTTGAGTCCTTGCCTCTTTTTTTTTCTTGATGAGTCTAGCTAAAGATTTATCAATTGTATATATATTTTTTTTCAAAAGAACCAGCTCTTAGTTTCATTGAACTTTTCTGTTGGGTTAAGTCTCTAATTTATTTCTGCTTGGATCTTTATTATTTCCTTCCTTCTACTAACTTTGGGCTTCATTAGTTCTTTTTTTCTTATTTCCTTTAGGTGTAAAGTTAAATTGTTATTTGGGATTTCTCTTGTTGGTTGAGGTAGGCCTATATCACTATGAACTCTCCTCTTAGAACTGCTTTTGCTGCATCCCATAGACTTTGGTATGTTGTATCTTTGTTTTTATTTGTCTCTAAGTATTTTTAAATTTCTCTTATGGTTTCTTCTGTGTCCCAGTAGTTTTTCAGATATATAAATCTCTATGTATTTGTAGTTTTTCCAGTTTTTTTTTGTAATTAATTTCTAATTTTATACTATTTAAAAAATTTTTATATTATTTTATTATGTTATGTTAGTCACCATACAATACATCATTAGTTTTTGATGTAGCATTCTATGATTCATTGTTTTTGTATAACACCCAGTGCTCCATGCAATACGTGCCCTCCTTAATACCCATCACTGGGCTAACCAATCCCCTCATCCCTGCCCTCTAAAACCCTCAGTTTGTCTCTTGGAGTCCATAGTCTCTCATGGTTTGTCTCCCCCTCCGATTTCCCCCCCTTCATTTTTCCCTTCCTTCTCCTAATGTCCTCTATGCTATTCCGTATGTTCCACAAATAAGTGAAACCATATGATAATTGACTTTCTCTGCTTGACTTATTTCACTGAGCATAATCCCCTCCAGTCCCATCCATGTTGATGTAAAAGTTGGGTATTCATCCTTTCTGATGGCTGAGTAATGTTCCATTGTATATATGGACCACATCTTTATCCATTCATTTGTTGAAGGGCATCTCAGCTCTATCCACAGTTTGGCTGTTGCGGACATTGCTGCTATGAACATTGGGGTGTATATGGCCCTTCTTTTTACTACATCTGTGTCTCTGAGGTAAATACCCAGTAGGGCAGTTGCTGGGTCATAGGGTAGCTCTATTTTTAATTTTTTGAGGCACCTTCACAGTGTTTTCCAAAGTGGCTGTACCAACTTGCATTCCCACCAACAGTGTAAGAGGGTTCCCCTTTCTCCACAACCTCGCCAACATTTGTTTCTTGCCTTGTCAATGTTTGCCATTCTAACTGGTGTAAGGTGATATCTCAATGTGGTTTTGGTTTGAATTTCCCTGATGGCTAAAGATGATGAACATTTGTTCATGTGTCTGTTAGCCATTTGTATGTCTTCTTTGGAGAAGTGTCTTTTCATGTCTTCTGCCCATTTTTTGACTTGATTATTTGTCTTTTGGGTGCATCCCGGGGATGAATCCCACTTGGTTGTGGTGGATGATCCTTTTAATGTATTGTTGGATCCTATTAGCTAGGATTTTGTTGAGGATTTTGGAATTCATATTCATCAGGGATATTGGCCTGAAATTCTCCTTTTTGATGGGGTCTTTGCCCGTTTTGGGGATTAAGGTAATGCTGGCCTCATAGAATGAGTCTGGAAGCTTTCCTTCTGTTTCTATTTTTTTGAAACAACTTCAGGAGAGTAGCTATTATTTCTCCTTTGAATGTTTGGTAGAATTCCCCAGGGAATCCATCAGGCCCTGGGCTCTGGTTTTTTGGGAGGTTTTTGATCACTGCTTCAATCTTGTTACTGGTTATTGGACAATTTAGGTTGTCAGTTTCTTCCTGTTTCAATCTTGGTAGTTTATAGGTTTCCAAGAAGGCATCCATTTCTTCCAGGTTGCTTAATTTATTGGCATATAGTTGTTGATAATAATTTCTAATAATTGTTTCTATTGACTTGGTGTTAGTCGTGATCTCTCCCCTTTCATTCATAATTTTATTAATTTGGAGTAATTAATTAATTTTCTTTTCTTTTGGACAAGTCTGGCCAGTGGTTTATTGATCTTGTAAATTCTTTCAAAGAACCAGCTTCTAGTATTGTTGATCTTATCTACTGTGTTTCTGGTTTCTAATTCATTGATCTCTGCTCTAATCTTAATTATTTTTCTTCTAATGCGTGGCTTAGGCATCGTTTGTTGCTTTTTCTCTAGTTCTTTAAGGTGTAAAGTTAGTTGGTGAATTCAGGATTTTTCTATTTTTTTGAGTGAGGCTTGGATGGCTATGTATTTCCCCCTTAGGACCGCCCTTGCAGTATCCCATAGGTTTTAGACCAGTGTGTTTTCATTCTCACTGGTTTCCATGAATTGTTTGAATTCTTTGATTTCCTGGTTGAACCAAACATTCTAGAGCAGAGTGGTCTTTAGCTTCCAAGTGTTTGAATTTCTTCCAAATTTTTTCTTGTGATTGAGTTCCAGTTTTAAAGCATTATGGTCTGAGAATATGCAGGGAATAATCTCAATCTTTTGGCATCAGTTGAGACCTGATTTGTGACCCAGTATGTGGTCTATTCTGGAGAAAGTTCCATGTGCCCTCCAGAAGAATGAGTATTCTGTTGTTTTAGGGTGGAATGTTCTGTACTATCTATGAGGTCCATCTTGTCCAGTGTGTCATTCAACGCTCTTGTTTTTTTGTTGATTTTCTGCTTAGATGATCTGTCTCTTGCTGAGATTGGAGTATTGAGGTCTCCTACAATTAACGTATTATTATTGATATGACTCTTTAGTTTGGTTAACAGTTGGCTTTTATAGTTGGCTGCTCCCATGTTGGGGGCATAGATATTTACAATTGTTAGATCTTCTTGTTGGATAGAGCCTTTAAGAATGATATAGTGTCCTTCTGTGTCTCTAACTACAGTCTTTAGCTTAAAATCTAATTTGTCTGATATAAGAATTGCTATCCCAGCTTTCTTTTGAGGTCTGTTGACATGGAAGATGGATCTCCATCCCTTCACTTTCAGTCTGGATGTATCTTTAGGTTCAAAATGAGTCTCTTGTAGACAGCATATGGATGGGTCCTGTTTTTTTATCCAATCTACAACCCTGTGCTGTTTTATGGGAGCATTTAGGCCATTCACGTTGAGAGTGATT